GGGGAGGTGCCGGTGTACCTGGGCCTGGAGGAGGCCGGGGTGGTGTGGGGGCCAGAGTCGGGGAAAAGAAGGTGCAGGGGAATTCAGGGGCCATCTCTTGCTAGAGTAGAGAAGAGTAGAGAGTTGAGATGAAGCCCCTGGTCTCACCCCAACCTCCGGGTGCCCACCATCTTACCGGGGATCCTGAGGGCCGGAGGAGGGCACTGGACACAGGCGGTGACTCCAGGGCTTGCTCAGGCTTGGCTGTGCACAGGCAGCACCGTGAGGCGTTGCCCATGGCAGGGCTGGCCCAACTCTGTCCTCTCTCGAGATCCCTCCCGCCCCTCCCAACCACCCAGGTCCCTTGCAGGTACACCCCATAACCCTCATTCCTCACCACTCTGCCCTCGCTGAGCCTGCCCTGGACCTTCACCTCCGCTCCCACAGGCCCCCACTGGGGTGGGTACCCACCCCATTCTGCACCTATCACACCCATCTCACCTGCTGTGAGCAGCTGTGTGAGGCAGGGGTTGTTGCCCCCGGCAGTGGCTGTGGGGCTGGCAGTGGCAGGGGCCAAGGTGGAGGGGCTGGCTTTCTGTCCCCTAGGGGATGGGGTTTGGGGCCTGCCTCTGGGTCGCACGCCCTGAGGCACTGTGAAGCAAGGTCCAAATGAAGGCTGTGGGTACCTGGAGGGTAGGAGCTCTAGGGGGAAGGGGGCTGGGGCAGGGCCTGGGACAGGCTGTGGGGTGTGTGGGAAGACAGTGGGGTGGGTAGGAGCAGGCAACGGGGACACTCTCGGAGCTGGAGGGACAGCAGGGAAGGAAAACCTGGGCGAGAAGAGAGGCTCTTCTTGCAACAAAGCAGCAGGTGGAGCCATGGGAGGGAAGGGAGGGAGGGGGTGGGACTCCAGGCCTGGCACTTTGGCAGGGGCAGGGTATTGGAGGAGAGGTGGGGGTGCAGGAGGGGGTGGGAGCTTAGGCTTGGGGTCTTCAGGAAGGAGGAAATCAGAGCTCAAGAAGGCAGTGGAGTCCAAGGGCCCAGGGCAGCTGTTCCGAGCCTAGTTGGGGAGACAGACAGACACTCAGAGCAGGGAGAAAGCTAGCTCTTTCAGTCACCCAGGCCAGGAGAGGTGGGGGTGCAGGAGGGGGTGGGAGCTTAGGCTTGGGGTCTTCAGGAAGGAGGAAATCAGAGCTCAAGAAGGCAGTGGAGTCCAAGGGCCCAGGGCAGCTGTTCCGAGCCTAGTTGGGGAGACAGACAGACACTCAGAGCAGGGAGAAAGCTAGCTCTTTCAGTCACCCAGGCCGCCTCTTTTGACTTCCAACACACACACACACACACAGACACACACACAAATGATCTCTGACTTCCAACACACACACACACAAACACACAAGAATGAGCTCTGATTTCCAACACACACACACACACACACACACACACACACACACAAGAATGAGCTCTGATTTCCAACACACACACACACACACACACACACACACACACACAAGAATGAGCTCTGATTTCCAACACACACACACACACACACACACACACACACACACAAGAATGAGCTCTGATTTCCAACACACACACACACACACACACACACACACACACACAAGAATGAGCTCTGATTTCCAACACACACACACACACACACACACACACACACACACAAGAATAAGCTCTGACTTCCAACACACACACACACACGAACACACAAGAATGAGTTCTGACTTCCAACACACACACACAAGAATGAGCTCTGCCTTCCAACACACACACAGGAATGATCCCTGACTTCCAACACACACACACACACACACACAGGAATGATCCCTGACTTCCAACACACACACACAGGAATGATTTTTTTTTTTTTTTGCTATAGGGTGCGTGCGCTCACCAGAAAGACAGAGAGAGACAGAGAGACGGAAAGGGCGAAATCCCGCTATAGGGTGCGTGCGCTCACCAGAAAGACAGAGAGAGACAGAGAGACGGAAAGCGCGAAATCACCTCCCAGGGGGATGGCCACGCCACAATTCCTTCTCCTCCATTCTCCTTTCGGGATCTTGGGCACGCACACATGTGCGCCTGGCATGAGTTTAAGCCACCGGGTCCAGGACTCAAACTGTGGTGGACTACATGGGAGTTCAGTGACATAGCCACTATGCTAACTGCTGGTCCCGATCCCTGACTTCTAACACACACACACACACATGCACACTTAAAATAGGGAAGCAGTCACTAATAAAAGGGGGACAATGACATTTATTCACAAATTAAGCATGACGAAGAACATTAAGTTCTTGCCTATCCGTTCATCCATCAGATAACTTATCCACCCATCTACTAACTCATTTACCAATCAATCACTAATCAATCCTCCCATCTACCTGTCATCCATCACCAGTCCATCTGCCTACCTATTTATTTCCTCATCTGTGAAGCAGCTCATCTACCTATCTCTCCACCAGCACACCAGGTAGTAACCCATGCACCAATCCATCCAACCATCTATACTTCCTTCATCCACCAACCCGTCCATAATCCACCCACCCATCTACCACCTGTGCATTCACTAGCCACTTACCCAGCCACCAGCCTATTCGCTGACCCATCAAACTACTTATTTGTCTGTGAATCCATCCAGCAGCCCGTTCATTCAGCCAACCATTCCCTATCGTATATCCAACTGCCATGTGCACTCGCCAACACCGACAGCACACATACGCCCTCACTCGCTGGACAGACATTTGCTGTGGCTGTTCAGTGTCTGAACTGTGCTAGGCATAGAGGGGCAGCAGTGAGCAAAACAGTCCTTTAGGAAGGAGCTCACTGTTTCGGTGGGGAGAGAGATCCCTCAAAAATCAACTCTGGGGCTAGCAAGTGGCATGCTGGGTAAGGTGCTGGATTCCCACATGGTGGGCCAAAGTGGGAATGAAAATCATGCCAGACACGTGTGCATGCATGCCCAAAATCCCAGGAGGAGAACAGAAGAGAAGGGATTACAGGTGGCCATCCCCCTGGGAGGTGATTTCCCACTTTCTTGCTCACTCTCTCTCTCTCTCTGGTGAGCGCACGCACTCTATGGCAAAAACATTAAAAAAATAAATAAATAAAAGATAAACGTCAAAGTGTGCCTGAAAAGTCTGACGACCGAGGAAGCAGGGAGGCAACATCTGAATTAGGAGCTCTTTTTTTTTTTTTTGGAGAGGTTTTCGCTATAGGGCGTGTGAGCTCGCCAGACAGACAGAGAGAGACATAGAGACAGAAAGCGAGAAATCACC